TGCTCAAGGATACTTCGACATGTTTGCAGGACATTTGGGTACTTGCCAATACTGAGTACCGATATGAGTACTTAATAATACCATTACAGTTTGAAAATGTCTTTTATTTTCATCAGATCTTCCTCACTTCCTCCTCAACCACCCGGACAATTTAGCAGAGCATATTCTGCTCTACTTTTGTTGTCATTGTTCTGTATTTAAAAATATTTCCTATAATAACCTGAAAATAAGTAGGTATATTTTGTATACCTATGCATTCCCTGTACTACACTACTGGTTTTATGATTACGATTATGAATTCATGACCACAGTATTGGACCTGATACTTGATACTGGTATTGGTGCAGCCCTATCTATGATGTTTTTTAATCTTAGACAGATCCCTGGATGCTGCATGTGTTCATCTCCCCAATGTGAAATGAGGACTGAAAAAGTAAATCATGTAGCGTGCCATTCAAATCTGAAAGGAGGCATGCTTCATGGCGCAACACTTAACAACAAACAGTAAACAATGTAACAAAAATAACACCATAAATGTTCTAGCTCTTACAATGTTAATTAGTCCTGATTGAATTTTCTATTCAAATACATTTTCTCACCTCTGCCCATTTGGATTTCTTCTTTTCATTTTCAAATTTCCTAAACTCCTTCAGGTCTTTCATGTAGAGGAGTAACTTGATTAGCATTAGCAGCAGGATGCCGATGAGAGCCACAGATGCAATGGAACCGCCGATGATGGCTACGACGCTGGGTGGTTCAGGACAGTCTAGAGGAACAGGGACAGATTAAAGAAGATTTTACACTTATCCACAATTGTAAATTATAAATCCATATAAAAAATAATTAAATTGAGAAAGGTGTACATCATTGAAACTAAAATGTCTACTGGATAAATTGCCATGCGATTTTGTACATGTCCAGAGAACGAGTCCTAGTGACTTTAGTGATCCTCTGACTTCCCACCATGAGATTGATATTTGTTGTTTTGAATGAAATGTTTAAACAACGAGTTGCCATGCAATTTGGCTCAAGTTTTTCCCCTCCGCTCAACAATTTTATTTTTTTTAATATGTTTATTGAGCAAACTTCAAAGCATGTTACAAGCAGGATACAGATTAACTGTAAGTGAGAAGTCTGACATTTTCATATTTTCTTTTTTTAAGTAGACTGTCTGTAAAAGAACATACAGGCAAAATACAATGCACCCAACTCCTTGTGTTCACCCTCCACCCACCCTAGTCTTAAAGGGTACAATGTGCACTTTCATGAGGTATATAAAAGGAGATAAAGAATAAATAATTGAAGAAAGACGACCAGATGGAATTGAGTTTTGGGCAGGAGAAAAATTTATGCGTTTGGTCTGCTGGGCAGAGAGAGCATCTGGTACAAGAATCGTCAGTGTCAGGAAACAATTTCTTCAGCCTGGCTTTAGTATAGTGGATCCTGTGAACCACTTTAAACTGAATAAGGCTCATGCAAGCACAAGAGCTAGTGGAGCTGATCCTGACCAGTGACTTTCTCCAACAATCCTAGTCCAGCCCCAGCCCAAGCTCTTTTTCCCATGTGTCTTTTAGCCATAAAAGAGAAGATGCTTGTGAAGAGAGAAGAATGTAAATTGATCCAATGCTGTTTTGTGATGCTGAGGGAGACATTATATTTTCTAGAAGAGTCTTTTCAGGTAGTTTAGGGAAGGACATGAAGTGAGTTCTTACAAAATTACGAAGCTGGAATTATCTAAATCGACCACAATAAGGTAGATCAAATTTATGACAAGGTTCTTCAAACTACCAAATGTCTCTTCAATAAAGAGATCACAAAAAGAAACCAGGCCTTTCTTTTTCCAGTTTTTAAAAGCTGGGCTAGTGAAGAGGGTAGAAAGAGATGGTTATTGCAAATAGGGGTAAGGACGGAAGGGGATTTAATTCCAAAGTGTTGTCTAAACTGTTTCCAGATTTTTAGCGATGAGAGTACAACAGGGTTGCTAGTGTACTGAGAGGGACGCGACATGAGTGGAGCAAAGAGCAATGCAGAAAGAGAAGATGAAGTGCAAGAGGTGGCATCTATAATACACCAGTTAGTGTCAGGGGAATACCAATTTTTTTAGCTTTTGGAGGTTAGTGGCCCAATAGTACAACTGTATATCGGGAAGTGCAAGGCCCCCATCTTGTTTGGGCCTTTGGAGAATTGATGTTTGAATCCTGGGGGGCTTGCCTGCCCAAATGTAAGAAAGTATAGTGGTATTAAGTGATTTAAAAAAAGATTTGGGGAGGAAGATGGGGAGGGTCTGAAAAAGAAATAGGATTCAAGGTATTACATTCATTATAACTGTTTCAATTCGCACTCCATCTCTGTAGGTCCAATTTAATCTTCTCAGTCAATTCCGCAAAGTTATTCTTGTGAAGTGAACTAAAGGGGTGAGAGATGTTTACACCTAAATATTTAAAGCCACTGGGAGATAAGTGAAAAGGTAGTGCATCAGGAGAGATGGATTTGGCTGACTGGTTTACAGGAAAACATACACTCGAAGAGAACTCAGAATTTATGTTCGCTGGGTCTGCAGTCAAGTTCTGAGAAGAGTCATATATTTGTGATATGAAGTGAGAGGCATGTTGATGCCTCAGCTGTGAGACTAAAAGACGACTGGCCCTGTCCCCATGCTCATAATAAGTTGCTCTTGTCCGTTGTAGCAGGTATTCCAATTTGCTTGTTGATAACAGGTCATATTCAGTTTTGCAGTTAGTTTAGCTGCTAGAGCAGGATTTGGTAAAGAGGCATGTTGCCTATCTATGTCTAAAATAGCGTCCATAAGTTGTTGCTGTCTGGCTCTTCTGGTTTTGGCCAAATGCGCACTGAAAGAGATGATACGCCCACGGATAAAGGTTTTTAATGTTTCCCATAGAAGCGATGGGGAAATGTGAACAGACCTGTTGGTGTCTAAAAAGAAATCTATATCTGAAGATATATAGTCACAGAACTCTGTGTTAGCCAGCAAGCCTGTGTTCAACTTCCAGCCTCCTTGATGTCTACGCGAATCCGAAGGGAGACATAACTCTAGTATGTGAGGAGCATGATCGGAAGTTACTATGGCAGTGTAATCTGTAGATCTGAAGAAAGGTAGAAGGGTCTTATCAATAAAGAAATAAATCTATGCGGTAGTAGACTTGTATATATAATAGAGAAATAAGAAAAGTCTTTAGCATTAGGGTGAAAGAAACGCCAAGCGTCAACACAACCCACCTGATCCATAAGTCTTGATAAAATCTTAGACATTGCTGTTGGTGTGGTCGATCTGGACTGTGAACGGTCAAGGCTTGGATTAGCAACACAGTTTAGATCTCCTCCTAATATTAGGTGATAAGTGTCTAAATTTGGTAGATGGGAAAACATTGTGGACATAAAATTTGGGCTATCCCAATTCGGTCCATACACACTGACTAATACAACTGGTGTTTGATGAATAGTACCAGAAACTATAATGTATCGACCACCAGGATTAGAATATATGTGAATTGGGATAATCTTAATTTGTTTATGTATTAAAATTGCTGTGCCTCTGGATTTACTATTGAAATTGGAATGAAATATTTGTCCAACCCATGGTTTATGGAGCCTGATATGGTCAACTGTACGCAGGTGTGTCTCTTGCAAAAAAGCAATATCAGTGGAGAGGTACTTTAGGTGTGACAAAACCCTGGAACGCTTAATCTGTCCCACCAAGCCCCGCACATTCCAAGTAACTAGTGCACTGCCCGTAGGAACAGTATGTATCTCGCTATCAAGAACAAGCTGGGAGGTTAACAGCTGAGGCGTTTTCATGGATGGCACCAAATGATGGTTGTGTTTGAAGGTGGCGACGTCGGGCGGGGACGATTTAGTTGTTGTGAATGTGTTAGATTGAATTAACTATTGTGTTTTCAATATAAATTATGGCTTTTACAAAGCACTGTAGGGAGTCCTGACACCCCAAGTTTTCACTAATGTGAAAGTACCACAACCTCATGGTCAGCGCATATAAATTCTTGAAAAGAAACAAAGTGAACTACCATCTGAAATGGGATGAAACCCTGGCAAACACAATAAACAGGACTAGTTGTATAGTCTCCTATAGAGTTAGTAATCTCTGAAAGAGTCGATGGCGGATCAACTTGTCTTACTGAAGAAACTAGTTATGCGATACCATGGCCTGCTATTAGGATGTGGTTTAGAGTGGGGTGTAATGAATGCGTCAGCTTTGTCTCTTGGAGATCCTATGTCAGAACCATTCACCGTTAAGATTTTGAACCAAATATCGAATATATCGGAATTGAGCAATAAGATATTTATTAAGGGAAACATATCTTCCCACCCCTGCTTTTAGCTAAGGTTTAACTAGAAGCTCTGTTGGAGTTGGCGAGCACACATAGCCATAGTGTGGCCTCCGAGAAGCGCAAATTATCACACCGACGCAATCACTGTCAAGATGGACATCTGCACTACATGCTCGTGTAAAA